CCTTGCCATACTGATGGCGTTTGCTGGTGCATCGCTGCGCTCAGGTATCTGCTACAATACCCTAGTAGCAACGTCGGAGGCACTCCCAGTTTATGCAAGGCGCTCATCAAAAATGACCGCAGGCCCAGTATGAGGTTGAAGTTCATAGCTCGTTTCGTCTTTGCCGTTGCGATTGGTCCACTAGCTCAGTACCCTATCAGTAGCAGAGACTGAGTCAAACACAGCGCTGATCTTCTCTGTTGTCCTCCTTGCTACAGAGTTCATTTGAGGATCGTAAAGCATAATCATTGATTGCAGTCACTGACCTATTTTTATTCCTAGTTGATTAACCCGTTAAGGGCTTGCGCTTCCGAAACCATGCTGTTAAGGCTCTTGAAGCATACTTCAACATACTAACGTATTTCGCAATGAAACGGTCTTAGACGGAAGAAATTTGAAATTGAATAGAAATGCGACAGGAATTATGAGACAACCCAATACCATAATACAGCCATAGAGTATTCGAACAACTCCAACGCAAAGAAAGATTTCGAACATCGCACGGCACCATCAGGCCACAAGCGTGGCGAATCCCTCCCCCTAACAATTCCGTCTTCTAGAATTTGTTAATCGGCAATGCACCTGGCAAAAAAAATTGCGTCGAAACGCAACTTAGTCTCGCACAATGGATCACCAATAATAGCTGCTACAGGACACCACCCACATGCTCTAAGCGACGCCAGCCTCTTCTCGCACATCCTCCTACCATACTTCTCTTCTCCCTCATAGGCACGCAACTTTTATACTTCTTCGCAGTAGAGTCACCATTGACAACCAAAAGATGGCGCGCGGCTGCAAAGTCCGATACATATCTTTGCATGAAGTATGTGAAGGCATTCTCGCTTATCTCTGCCATCCATTCCACCAAGTTGGAACTCAATTCGCTTCGGTTCAACGACAATGCTTGCTACCACACACGCGACGACAGAATGACTTATTCTCTGTGGCCTGTAGTGCATATACCATGCACGGGATCGGGATCATATGACGCACGCAACCTACGCCCTGGGGCGGGATTCTTGTCGCTGCTGGATGTGACCGTATTCAGAACCTCACACAAAAAGCCTAGTTCGTACATCAGAATCTTCGTTTGTAGTTGCGGTAAATTAAGACGTTCGTTAGTCATTTGGGGAGAATACATATTTCCTTCATCTTGATTCACCGCCAAACGATCTGTTGAGCATGGAACATCTGCCAACACCTGGAAAAGCATTGAATTTACCCGAGCAAATGAAAAGTTATGGCTGACTACTTACAACTGCTTCTTTGTGCACAAACCTTATCGTAAGTGTTGAGTTCATTCCATGTTGCCAGATTGCTAGCATCTTGTCGCTTCAGAATTACTGCGTCCGCAGCAGGATTACCGACTGGGATATACGTTGATAGAGCCCGCTTCAACTGTCCCAGTCTAGCCAGTTTAAAATCGTTGCATACGACTTTGCCTGCAATCAAAATTATGGTCAGTATGTATAGCATGCCCCAGTTTTCATGAAAGAAGCTTTCAAAAGGAAGATCCACCACGATCAGACTGAATCCCCTAACCAGCACGCCAGATCTCCATCATTATGAGCTACGTACCGATGAAATTCGACCAATGCAATCCTCCTTCACCTCATTCTCACAGCACTGTTCACTACAAACACCGCCCCCACGGGCGTAGGGGGATTGAACATTTAGAAAATGCCAGGCCACATTGTCTCCAAAAATACAACCTACTACGGCCCTGTTCCTCCCATCGCTCACCGAGGCAAACCCGAACCCAGGTATAAAAATAATCGACCATGGCTCACTTCACTCTTCGGGACTAAACAAAAATGTTCATTTGACATCAGTAAAAAGTGATCTTAAGGAAGAAAGCTAAATACAAAATATCAGTGTCCCGAACATTCGTTTTTGAACAATCCAGCCAAATTCGAATCTCTGGTATGTCCAATCTTCTAAGAAGAATATTGAAGAGTAAAGAATTAAGAGGCTTTTGTCCAGAGTCCCTCAGTTCTCGAAGGCGGAGCTTACGATGAAAGTTAGCTCATTGGAAATAAGGGTAGAGGTGGTCAGTGGAGCAGGGATGAAGAAGAAACCATTTGAAACGGCCCAAAACCCGAGAAATGGGACCCCTTCCTTGCCCGTTGATTTGCGCATTGATGCGACTCTCATCGCTGTGCCCTCTTCAACACTACGCTCTCTCTGCTATCTAATCACTCGCCACGTATAGACCTGCGGCGAGTGATTAGATAGTCGGTGGGCGTACCCGCCAACCGCGCCAAGAGTGAGCCATGCTAGATCGCCGAGGTCAAATCTTTCGCTGCCAATTGCGCGTCGTTCAGCCTCCGCCCCCCCCCCAAGAGGTCCGCTTGCCTGTCTCCACAACTATGCAATTTTCCCAAGCTTTCTATTCTCCTACTAAAATATTTCTTAATATTATCAAAATGGATCCTCGTGCAAAAAGCGAACACTATCCATTCGAACTATGTATGATCTCTTCAATTTTCGATTGCGCAAATCTACTTTATTAACTTCAGAAAAACACACAGGAACACTCACTATTGCACGCTGTTGCAGTGCTGTAAACAACGCAGTCGGGACAAGGTTACCTTCAACCATCCATTTACACCATTGTAACAAGGGAGTCGTGTCTGTGGTTTTGTGAAGGGGATCGCATCTGGAGTTGAGCAAGGTCAGAGGAAAGCGCGAACGTCATTGTTGTGGGAAAGGGGAGGTGTCTGACTTTGTTGTGTACATTTTGAATGCGAATAGTTCACGGATATAACGCTGAATGATAAAATTGGTAGACTCGTCGCTTCACTATATCACTAAGCCCCACCCTTTCCCCCTCCCATCTCACCCTCCGCCCCATTTGACGGCCGTTTTGGATAAAAAAAAACAGGCGGAGCCGGTGTGTCGACTGGTTTCAGAATCAAATGCTAGTAGGAAATAGCTATGATGGTGAGGGAGGCAGGGAGTAGGGGGCAGGAGGGACGTATTGGAGTGACCTTCTAACCATATGACTGGTGATGGTGGGGGTGCACTGAAGCATGGCGACTTACCTCGATCGGATGAACCGCCCCTCTCAAGGGGAAGGCTCCTCTAGTTTGGAATAGTCCGCAAGATAATCTGAAAAATCTCGAAGTCTGCGAAAAAGCTGACTCCTGGTCCAAGAGAAGAATATAAATGTCCGACCGTCCAACTCCGAAGATTTTCGCCCTTGTTGAAATATAACACATATAAAAATACGAAACAAGCTGAGTAATCCTTGCAATATAACAGTCATTAAGAGAACATCAACGATGTCTCAGTCCGCAGGACAGGTAATTTAAGTAAAAGTCAAATTACTCACTAGGTAATTTTGTCACAATAAACCATCAAACGTGTTGGTCCTCCGGAAGCAGCCAAACGTCACACCGAGTCACGCCTTCTCAAGACCAAGTACTAATACACTGGCATCTAGAGAGCCCGCCGTCCAGAACCACCAACAACTGAAAAACTAGCATATTAACACGTTGCGACGCCACCTCGGGTTAATGGTGACCCCGAACAGCATCACATGGACGAAAAAAATGTCGTCATATGGGACCGACAGAATTGAATACTACGCCAAACTTAAGGAACACCGCGATTTTTCTTTTTCACGTTACTATTCCAGTGTCCTAACTTAACTACAACTCTAATGGCGAAAATATTATGAATCTCGCTGATTCCTGAGTTTTTTTTGAATTAGCTTATCAGTGCCAGAAACCGCTAATCATAATCACTAAAACCAATCCAACAAAACTTCCATCTCGTCAATCAACACTTGTATAATCCTCACGAAATTTTCCTATCGCCTTACTAATTTAGGCAAATTGCCGTCTTAGTAAGAGTCCATTTCCTAGCCCTTAGGTGTTGTTTTGTCTTTTAAAATTATTTTGATCGACTGAAATAGGAAACTCAATCCGAAAAAGACTCATAGGCAGGACAAAAGTACCTATCCAGTCCATCAACTGCCAAATATTTCACAAACAATTTTTTGACCTTGAAATGACTCGTTTAAATCTCTTATTCGATCATGAAGAACAAGATAACAGTCAAACAAAAGCTCATTCCGTCAGGTACGCAAAGTTTTTTGCGTCGTTCTTGAGTGAAAAATTCGTAGAAGATTTCAGATGTGATCAGGATACCAGTACCTAAAGGAACTCTATTAAAGGCAAAAGTCTGGCTCAATAAGGGGGATTATGGCGATTGAAACTGAGTATAGAGATGCGAAGTGTAACGGCAGTGGAGAAAAAACCGCGAAAAACCCTCGACAAGGCCGTTAACAAAGCCCTCTTTCTCAAAAGCAATGAAGGAGGCCGGCTTGGGGAAGAGGCACGTACAAGCAAGTTTTCTGAAGATATCAGTCGTTCTATCGGTTGATACGGCTATCAACCTAGCTGATTTCACACGTTATGCCACATCCCGAGGTGGGCGGTCGTAGCGGGGCTAGGCGGCGATAGCGCATAGTACGTGCCCTGAGGCCTTATTACCGCGTCGTTTGAGATTTTGAGCATGGGAACATCTCTATGGGTGCGTAACCAATTACAGGAATGACCGAAAGGGTTGGTTAGGTTCACTAAGCCCGACCTTTGCCTTTAAAAAAATGAAGAATGCGTGAAATTGCGCCTTCAGAACCTATTCTAACATGAGGTTTGAAAATGCCAGGCGATGTCACTGAAATTTCACCCAGCATTCAGTAGTAACAACTTTTCCTTGTTTCTAAACGTGTCTGGAGTACTCTAGTCAAAGGCATTTTGTGCATTTCAAGATTTACAGAGCTATAAAATAGATTTTGCCCTGTGTTACCGGCGCTTTGCATGCAAAAAACGTCTCGTCCCATGCGCGCGACAAGGAAAAAATCGCTCGTCGTCACAAACGTGTTAAAAAGTCCGAAATTATTCACTTAGGTATAGATGCGATTATTCCGGAAAAAGAGATTGTAAGGCCTATTAGAGCAAACTTGTATTACAACAGAAAGTTTCTGTAACTGTACGTTGCTAAGCAATAAACTTATGAGCGTATCAAGGAATGACCTTCGCTCATCAGCGCTCTAAATTGCTTTGGACACGCTGTTCAACAATTCCAAGCAAGTTCAACCGGCCGATTTTGATTTTGAAGTTTTTACAACCTCTCCATTAGAGGGCCTCAATACGACCCTCCATACCACTCTACCGCCACCATATACTTCTAGTTTTTAGCATCTCCATCTCCGCCCCACCTGTTTCATAAACCGGCTGTGCGGGGGTGGAGGAGGAAGGAAGAGGAAAGTACATCTCTAAAAACGGGGCAAAAGTTCAAAATTTGTCCATTTTATTCTTATTTCTTACAAGTTTTTGTGAAACTTCCCAACACAACTAATTCACCATCGGAAACCCTCGCAACCTTCACCACCTGTGTCAACTCTAATGGCGATTCCTTCCCGAAAATCACACAAACGACCCCATTTAAATCGTAAGAACGGATTCTGCTCCCAAGTTCATTGTTTCGTGACGCGGAACTCGGCAAGTTGTCACACTTCCAGCAACCACAGCTTTTGAATGGTAGTGAACTAGGAGAATAAACTTCCTGAGCAACTGCTCAGGCAAATGCCCACAATGAGGTATTGTAAAATGAAGCTAAAATTTGTTTTCCCTTCTACAATGTGTTTGTTGACCCCAGGCTATTCCAAGGAAGAGCGTTTGGAAGCATTGCTCGTTTCCTGTAGATCGATTATGTTTAGCTGTATGCCATGAACTCAACCTCCACTCCAGATCGTAGACACATTTAAAAGGCAAAATGTGCATGAAATTTAGAAGAGTTCCATTCACCCAACCTACTTTCATGTAACTTCGTAACAAAGGCATTTTACAGCACAGGCTTCATTTTTGCCCTCCAAGGTTGCCACTGCCACTTCAGTGCTGACGCCTTCGTCCGAGAAGCCGCTCCCGAAGGAGTTCTCGACAAGGACTTCATATTTGACCTCCTGGCCATGGACTGCACGATGCACGCTTGACCACGGCTGGTAGGATGGGTCATTAAAACCGGATTTTGCTTCAGTGACTCCGCTTGCAACTAAAGTGCTGAGGAGGGGGATACGAGGCCGCCTACGCCTTTCTCGTCTCTGCTCTCACTCCTCAACATCTGCTCCCGTCC